ATATATATATAATATATGACAAAATCTTTATTCCTATATTTAATAGCTCAGAACTAGTAAGTCTCATGCACACAGAGGGAAATTATTTATCTGCAGCTGAGCTCTGTTTGTCACTTCTTTATAATCCATGTTTTGAGGACTTTCATTAATGCAATAATCCTTTATGCTAGATGAAGTTGGGCATCCCAATCTCTTGACCAGAGCTAAAGCCAAGGGGCAGCTGGAGGAGTGCTAATAACTGGGACATTCTGGAAGGCATGTTCATCAGCAGTTACCCACGCCTGAGCTTTGACTTCATCTCATGAATCACTCACAGATTTTCTCAATCACAGACAATAATAAAAATATTGATAGCTGAATGCCACACATAGTCCAGCTTGCTATTTGGAGATGGTCTATCACTAAAACTAGATCATAATGCACTGACATATTTTTTTTATATTTTTTGAGACAGGAGAAACAGAAGAATAGTAGTAACATGTATTTTCTACATATTTAACATATATTTTCATAATTCTTTAGAGCTACAGTTTGGTTACACTGAGAAACAGAGGCAGCTGGCTATTTACAGTTTGTCTGTTGTCTAGTATTAGTTTTTAAGATTCTTGGAGCCACTTTCTGTGTGTAGCCAAGACTGGACAAAGCATCTGTTTTACAGTCAAGTGACAACCTTGGAGATTTAGGAGAAAATCATAGTGGTTTTTTTTACATTTTAATGGTTAAGAAGAGAAACTTCTCTGCATTTTCTGAGCACTTCAATACTTGTGTATTAAATCTCAATCATTCCAAAAGAAATTGCTACCATACAGTTTTCCTCACTTTCAAAAAAAAAAAAATACAAATGTTCTTCTTCTGGTTTTGTCCAGTGAAGCCAAAGGGGAAAAAGTATCTCAAAATGGTAAATGCAATGGTAAATGCAGTCATCCTTTAAGCTTGCTTTTAGGCTGGCACAATAACTATGCTAAATGCAGTAATGGGAAAATCCAAAAGGTTTTGCTGAATGTAACAGGGAAGACTTTGATAAGGACCTACTGATTTCAAGGTTAAAAAAAGAAAATTGTCCTCCTCCTGAGCACTGTTGCAGTCTAGAGCCCCAATTCTAGAAGGGCCCCAAGTCCTTTCCAGGGTCATGAACACATGTCCATCTGATAGGCATTTCAAAGAACCACGAGGAAATGGAGTGTTGACAAGAATATTCCTGTTGGTTGGCACTCCCTGTCCAATTAAGTCAATTCAGAAAACAGCCAGCAGAGTGGCCTAGAAATGGCTCCATTGGCACCAACGCTGCAAGTCATGCACACAGATGACGCAGGCCTTCAGTACGATAGTCTGATAGCAAAGGGTGGTGGAATCAAACCATCATAGTTCTGATCACAAACAATCTTACTGAACATAACTACTGGATGATGGAAAATTAGAGGGATAAAAAAGAGTCCTAAAAGCATTTTGAAAAATGAACCGTATATATTTCCAAAGTCTCTAGAGCCACATAAGGCCGGAACTTGAACTATAATATTACAGAACTAATTGCCACAGAGCATTCCAGTAAGTCCTCAGAGGCTTGCATTATTCCCCATCAAAAAGGTTCACTTGAGCCTAAGCTTGCAATGTAGACTGGAATCCTGCTGAACTTGCACTTTCCTTAAGGATAATTTTCACTCTACCACATTCCTAATGGTATAGATAAAGAGGAACAATGTAGAACCACTTGCAAGCACAGACACCAACATTATCAAAAACTGGAAATATTTGCAGCACATTGGATTTTCATCATACAAATCAAAGGAACCATGATAAAGTGAATTAAAAAATCATAGTGCCTTTATCTATTTCTGTATTACATCGCATATTTAACTAAATAGATGTAATAAAGTCACCAGGGTCCATCATTATCTCAAAGGCAATACAGTACTTCTACAAAAGAAGCATCATTTAAAACTCCAAATATTTAAAAACAACTGTCAGCCTCATAAAATAAATGGCCTTGGGTCAAAACCCATGAGATGTTAAGAAGTAAATTTGAGTTGTCCTTTCCTGATGCTCATTTTTAAAGTTTTTGGCTGCTTTCCTTCCAGACTTCTTTGTCTAATCAGGAGGGCCAAAGACATTTAAACACTGGCATGTTAATATAATTTTATGATTCCAAAAATAGAGTATTAAGTCACATTTCCTGGATCACAGGATAAAATCTTGAGAACTGGCAATTTTCTATGAACCAGATGGTTCAAAGGCTGTTGTTTCACTGGACCAGATTCCCTAATGGACTTCTGTGTTTGATTCTTTTTGAATGTTATTGATGTCAAATTTAAGGTCTCTAAGATTGCAACTGGAATTCTCAGTGCCGTATTCACTGTGTAACTTGGTGGGATGTACCCATGGCCGGTAGTCCCCACGACCTAAGAAATGCTGAGATCTGAATTCTCTCATCACTGGGTAGAGATTAGAAGCCACATTTCTCACAGCAGTATTATCATCACCACACCAAAATGTGTTCCAAGACTGAAGTTATTTCATTGTGGCTAAATGAAATAAGGATAGAAGATGCCAGGAAAACAAACAAAAAACCCCAACAAAGGCAGAAATTAATGCCTCGCCTATCAGTAAGGACACTGTCTAATGTGGGCACTCCTTCCTGAGCCTGTGCTCTGTTTGCACTTGTACTTTTCTTCTGCCTATTCAATCTTTTTGTAGGTATGCTGTAACACTTCACTAAGAAATGAAAATACCCTCGTGCCATATCCGCCTATGGATTAGGAAAACTGTAAAAAAGAGAAAGAAATATAATTTGAAAGACTGAATCTAAGAGTTCTACCTGCTTTTTTGTTGTGCTAGAGGCAGGAGTGCAGTCTTACTTGTGGATAGTGTTTTAAGGGTCTCATCCAAAGTTAAATTTGCAGATCTACTAGAGGTCAACTAGTTCACCCAGGTGTCATAAAAGATCAAATTTAACCTTGCCAGTTCTAATTTAAATCCATATTTTGTCTTTGTCCTTGATGTTTGAAATACATACAAATATTTTATTGCTTTCTTCCTGTGATATCCCAGCCTCATTCTTCTCTTTTTAACCCAACTAAGGCCATTTTTTTCAATCTTTTCTTTTAGAACCTATTTTACACATCCTGACCTACATCATCCTTGTTGCTTCCCTCTGTAATGTAGGGTCCCTTCATGGGTAGTGGTCAAAATGACAGACTGAGCTGCAACAGAGTAAATGAGCATTCTGCAAGTCTTACATACACAAACTCTGGGTAACATCCAGTATAAAGTTGATTTTTTGGCAATTTTAGAGAAATTATTTGCCAGTATAAACTGACTTTTCCCCCGAGACCACTTTGTGCAATTGTTAAAAAAAAAAGTCAAAACAGAAAAAGAACACTTTAATTTGAGAAGAAAAAAACACATGCAACCAAGTTTTAAAAGGGACTTGGACTCAGGGTCCTGAGGTAGGCACTTTCCCATTGCCCTGACAGTTGTTTACACAATTGTATTTGATTTCAGGCATTCCTCCCTTCAGAGTCTAAGCAGCATATTAACTACAATGCTGACTTTTCTGGTTCAAGTTTATAAATACTTGATTATCCCTGGGGCATAGTTGAAGTGGTCTTGTATTTTACTGACAGCTGCTGCAGGAAGCCCCTACACAATTGCTAAACTCCCATCACTTAAGGACGGTGTAATTCATTAATGATGGAGTTGAAAGCAGCTAGGTAAAAAAAATCTGCATTTGATGATGCATCATGTGCTCTGCCACCAAGCCTGTACTACAGCACAGGTACCTGGGCAGGAGCAGAGCGGAGGGGTGAGAGCTTGCAGGATAAGGGTTATGAGCAGGCGTTGTCACCTGTGAGCTCACCTGCCTGAAGTGAAGACAGCCTGGGCTCTGAGCTGCAGGCTCTGACCCCAGGCAGCGCCCTGGACCCTGCTTACAACCTGCTGTGGAAGTGCCAGCAGCACCTAGAGTGCTGTGTCCACTTCTGAGCTCCACAGTGCTAGAGAGGCATGGAGCTCCTGGAGCCGAACCAGTGGAGAGCTACAGAGCTGGTTCAAGGGTCTGGAGCATCTCTTTCATGAGGAAAGGCTGAGGGACTTGGGCCTGCTCAGATGACTGAGGAAGGGCCTCATCAATGTGCATAAGTATCTCAAGGGAGGCTGTCAGGATGGACCAGGCTCTTCACAGCGATGTCAAGCAACAGGCCAAGAGGCAACGGACAGGAACCAATGCACAGAAGTTCCACTTGAATACGAGGAAGAACTTCTTTATTATGTGGATGACCATGCACTGGACCAGACTGCCCCCCCAAAGCCATTCCTGAATTGTCTGGACGACCCTGCTTGAGCAGGGAGCTTGGACCAGATGTCCCACAGCGGTCCCTTCCAACCGGACCCATTCAGTGATCCTGTGACCCATGAGAGGATGGGCAGCAGGAGCGGCCGCCAGAAGGTCGCCCGAGCCCTCCGCAGGCAGAACAGCCGCTCTGGGCGGCCAGGCTGGGCCGCCTCACGGTCCCGCGGCCGGACGCCCGCCGCCCTCGCCACAGCGCCCTGCCCGGCAGCCCGCGGCGGAGCGGGCAGACCGCTCCCCGCTCCCCATTGCCCTGCCCGGCAGCCCGCGGCGGAGCGGGCAGACCGCTCCC